AAAGAGGTCACATCTCAGACAAGAGAATCTGCTGGCGATGGTCTCGGCACTTTGTGAATGTTGAAATTATTATTGCCAAAGGACACTTATAATGAAATAAAAGTTGATAAAGTTCAAAGTCGATTGAATTACCCTGGGGGGTGGGGAGGGGTAATGGTAATGAGCTATTGTACATAAAACACTGTGCAAGCCCGTCTCCACTTATATAACAGTCCACTTTTCCAACTATCGTTCCTATATTCGCTCGTTAAACTAGTTAATTGGACGACTTACATGCATGCACCCAGATCAGTAGTCACCASTMCGACGGATACCTGAAAAACRTCTACCTGATTCATTGTCAAGTTCTCRCAACTCCTATGGTAAYAGTTTTAGCACCGTCCGTCGAGGCACCCCTCACTGGAAAAAATCGCGCACTTTAAAGGTTGTAAATTTGATGYATATATGATGTAAGTGTCCAAAATGATGTAAATTTGATGTAAATCATTTCCATCAAATTTACATCATTTTGGACACTTACAKCATATTTCCATCAAATTTACAACCTTTATGGCGCGCGATTTTTTCCAGTGCCCTATCCATTTGTCAAGGGAAACTAAGGCCCGCACTATACGCCGAACTTCACATGTGCCGAATACAATTGACGAATTAAATGTATGTGAGCTGCGGCGTATAAATCAATTAAAATCGAGAGTATTGGATTAAATACGACTTCAGTCGAATTTGTGACTTAATTGAGATGAAGATGCGGCAATGGTGCGGCAGTTGATTKTTTAAGTCACAGGAGTTGTATTCGGCATATGTGAAGTTCGGCGTATAGCACGGGCGTAAGGTTGGTACTGGAGAAGATGTGGGGATCAATAGTTGAGTTTCGCGATCTCTTTTACGTTGTGTAGCCTCAATGGCATGCAATGGTGTGCTAAAATATTCAGGTAGATAAAACTCGTGCATGAGATTTCAAACTATTTACATTGTCTTCTATACTCATATAGATTCCTTGCATTTGCACGGAGCTGTTTGTAAATAAAATAATTTATTACATGGTTTTGAAGCTAACACAGCGTAAAATAGATAGCTAAAAGGGTTTATTTGAGAGACTGTGTATACAGTTTTCTAGTAGCCATGGCCTAACCAACCGTCCAGAGAATATTTTTATTTATATTTTTATAGAAAGAGCAATTATTAAAAAAAAACTCGTACTCAATGTTAACTCGATGTTAAAGTTTCTGAAAATAATGAATGATTTAAAACGTAATTCATAAGTCATCAATACTTTGGGCTTCCTGTCTAGGTTTGGAATACGAAGACTGGGGAGACTTCTATAGATACAGTTTGTATCAATGGTGGTTGTTTGTGTGGAATTTTATCGTGGATTCTTGGGCGATATTTAGGTGAGAACTGCACTAATGTTAGTTTGACTATTAGATAGTACCATATGAAATATTATTTATATGGAAATAGTATAAAATCGAATCGAAAAATATTAAAAACTCACATTCATGTCATTCCCTCGTGCGAGCTCAAAATACGACAGAAATYTCTCTGCAATCATAATGATGATCATGTAATTTTAGTTTAAAGCTAAGGATTATGTCTAGGACTAGTAAAATTTGGTATTTACTGTTCGAAGAATTCGAAATCTATCAACATCAGAGTGTTAGAGAGTGTTAGAGATGTAGGCGCCATCACAGGTCAAGTTGACAGTGGTCAACAAGTCGGTCACGCTAAATCAGGTTTTTCTTTGTAGCGTGACACTGATAACGGCTCTGAGGGAAAGGAAGTGGAGTGTTGTTATGTGTTTCGTGAACGTATATAAATACTAGAGACTGAAAACAGCTTAATCTCGGGCTATTATGCACCGTTTGGGACTTACACAGGAAGCCCAAGACGTTACTTACAATGCTTCATGGTGCCATAAATGTATTGTTTTGGTGACCTTTGCATATCTTGAATAAAATGATCCAAACACTGATMCAAACTTAAATTTCCGATAACTCATCTTTTAAAGTTTGTATCATTCTTTGTATCATTTTATAAAACTCAATATGACCTTCCAAATAGCCTGTGTTACATCCGGAATTTCTGTCTAATTTCCAGAAATTCCGGATGTAACACAGGCTACCTTCCAAAATGAATTTGGAAGGACATCTTGTCCTGCATATGTCTGGCTTTTATTTCGAGCCATGCATGACACATCTAATGCTGGAAAGTTCATTGACTCAGTTATGTATGTATACTCGCTGCTACATTTAAACTATATGTACACCTTGAACTGTATAAGCTTTGATAATTAGTACCAGAAATTATACAATGCATTCATCTTCAAAGCAACTAGACGTTCTCTGCATTTTATCGGGTTACAAAGCAACAGTCAAAAGCACAGGTAGCCCATGCTTGAGTGTTTTTGTGAGAGTGTTAATCAGTATGCACTATGGCAACTAGCATGCAAAATTTGTGTTCAAACATACCTTTGAAATTTTAAGATAGAGCAATCACTGAACCTTCATTGAATTGCATGAGTACATATATATTGATTTTGAACAATAAGTTGAAGAAGTTGTAGCATGTTTATAGCAAGGCATTGCTAGCCCACAAGAGACTTGGGTGAAAAGAATTTTTCTAATTTTTCTAATTTATTAACCCACTTCTGGGTTTCTCCAGCCCAAACTCTCTGGAACACCTGGTACACAGGCTAAAGATGTTGTGGCAACAACAGATTGTCACACAAAATGACAAACCTTTGAACTATTTAACCTCATATTCAAAGAGAAAGCAGTGACAAATGCGATTAATGTTTTGTCACAATAAATAAAACAAGAACCACTGTAGACTTCATAATTTCTCTAATTTTTTTTTTCTCTTAGAAATACTCCAACGTCCTTATCTGTCGCTGAGTAGTTCAAGCTGTTTCAATCTCTACATGATGAAAACAGAGTGTAATGACAGTGAAGAACTGTTCTCGCTTTCTTCCCTTGTGTCTAGTGTTAGTTCTGTGCAGTCTGGCACTTTACCAGGAAATGGTGCTGCACGCAACAATCAATGTTTAATTCCTCTTGAAAACATCA